TTAGTTTTTCTTTATTATAGTTTTTTTTTAATATTGTGTGTAACCTTTTAAATAGATATTTAAAAAAAATAAACTGCAATAGTTAATCAAGTATGCACTTATAAGACTTTGTTACATAAAATAATATGTACTGTAGCTATTAAATATTGCTGATTAGTATGTTACAGCTTAATAAATAAACAATTATTCCAATCCGATTTATGCAGTATTATTAATTTTATATGTTTTCATACAATTGCGACACCCGTTACCGTCGACCTAAAAAGCCTATTCACTCTTACCTTAAGGACACCCACCTTGTAATTGACTGGAAACACAGTAGCTGGCAACTTATTCCACTCCTTTGATCTATTATTAAAGTCCTTCCCCATAGATTGCCGCATAGGGGGAAATTTACCATAGTTGCCACGTTTAGCAAGCGGGTTGGAAACAGCAGTTTTTTTATATTTAGTCGTTATCAGGAAGATGCTGCCGCCCATCTCCTGAATTCTCGCCCCCCATTCTAAAATGTCGCCTCTTACGACTCCCACGGGATGATATGGGGTAGTGGATATTCTTACACCGCCACTACACTGTAAATTGCGACACCCGCGTGATAATAATTAGTATTTTCGTTAATGTACTCTACATTTTTTATTAAATTGTAATGAGAAATGAACTAACTATCTACATGATGGTAAGTGACTATTGCAGCCCTTGAACGTCTAGAACTGACTTCAAACAAAGAAGGCCACAATTGTGTTATTTATTCTTTAAGAAATATTCATACGTGGTAAAGGCACGCTGCAGTTATATTATTACCGTAGCACGAATGGGTTGGTTCGACCGGGGTAAGACCACGCTCTCACAGAATACCAGCGTAAAATAGCAGTTTAATGCTGCTGTGTTTCGTATGATGAGTGTAGGGAACCGGAGATCCTTTTTACTGGGAACGAGGCATTCCATCTCAGTCCTCAAGGGTTGATAACACATCTGCATTTTATTTCTTAATCAAGGGTGGATGTAGATTTCTATGGGCCACAGTAACCATTTGCAAATAAACTATGTGCTCGTTCGTCACCCTTCTTCTATAAAAGAGCTATTACACAGAAACCATCTATCATAATTTTTTACTGCTGCATAGTTAATAAAATAAGCTAGCTTTTATTATAATAAAATAACAAAACAGTATTTACATAGTTAACTGGTAAATATTTAATCGAATTAAACACAGCGCCATAGCGTAGGCCGCAACTTAAATCGTAATGTATAGCGATTAAAACTCTAAGACTTCTTCTTCTTCTACTTAGATTCTTAATCGAGGATGGATGTAGATGTCTATGGGCAACAGTATCTACTTGCTATCAGGTGGACTATGTGCTCACGTGTCATCCTTTTATAATAAAAAAAATGTATGTTAGCAGTTTTCATTTGCGATCGAATCCGCCTCAGTAGTATTTTCCCGGTCACATCCTTATGCATCTTGTCACACTAGCAAGCGGTTCGCCTTGCCCGGACACTGCGCGTGCGCAGAACGACGTCTTGCCCACACCTACATTCAAATCAATTTGTTCACATATGAATGCTTACACGAATACAGAAAGAGCAAAATTAGATACAAAATTAAGTTATTTCGTCGAAATAGGTTTTGCGATTGCGAGATTATGGCTGTGACTAACACGAGAAATTATTTTATTTATAGTGACCTGAGTCAGTGTCGAAAGTGAAACAATGTGCCCTCTCAATAACTTAACAACCTCCAGGCCGGTCCTAACATAGACGAGTTATGTCTAAGAGTACCGCCAATTTTGTTCCCGGACTCAACGTTATCATAGAATACAAAGATATTACAGTAAGCGAATAAATATCATTTGTTTAAAATTTTGACTTTTTTGCTTTGGGTTTGAAAATTGCATTTTGTGTCGTTTTGTGTGTTGTTATATGTGATGTTTGTATGTTTGATCGAGCAAATTCACATATGGCACTATATATTCTTCTCTGTTGACAATTTTCGAAGGAATTCAAAGTTGCTTTTTCTGAACTAGCCATAAGAATGTTCAATAAAACTAATTTATAAGGAACAAAAAGCAACACGGGCCACCGGGTGACCGGAGCCATAGCGTTTTTTCTCGATACAGAACTGTCTGTCTTTTTTGCGGGGGTGTTGGGTAGCTGCGCCCACAAAAACAATCGTCTGTCACTACGAAATTCACACATAACAAATAAAACAAGAAACTATAATTTCACACACACATAGATACGCTGTAATATTAACGCTCGGTGACAGCGACAACGCGGATATAGGCTCGGATCAGTCGCTTGACCGATCCGATCATATTGGATGAGGGCGAGAGGCCTGTGTTGGTAAACACAGGCCTCTCGCCCTCATCCAATATGCGAAACAACACGACCGTTATTATTGTAATTTTAAGTTTAAAAATAAGTAAATAGCAATAGTATAATTAAAAATTACTCATATTATATGAAAGGTGACAATACCTTTTATAAATTTGACGTGACAGATCTCTTTTTGCAGCAAAAAAATTAAACATTCGGCATTTTTGTAGTACGTTGATTCAGTCGCGCAACTAGATTTAGTCTAGTGAGGAATGCGGCTGCAACTTCTTTTCTTGTACGCATAGGATCGCGTGGACTTACACGCTTGGCAGAGGGGAACGCCTCTATATGACTACTCTACTTCTTTCCGCTGGTAGCCCATGTTGTTCTATGGTAAGGAATTTACAAAGTTGTTTTTTTTAACAAGTCCATTACTAGATAGCGGTCGCTCCCGTTGTAGAGGGGATTTGTCGTAATCACTATACATGCAGATCTTGTCAGGCATCTTGGCAGGCAGATCGGCGAACGCAGTAGGTAGGTACCGGACGCCTCGTATTTGTGACGCTACTCTACGTCACCAGTTATCGTCGCCATTTATTAGATGCTATGTCACGCCAAGCTTGAGATGTTTGATCTCTTAATGTCATAGTTATTACAGGTTTCCTTTGAGTATTATATATATATATATATATATATATATATATATATATATAGAGTGAGCTCACAGTAGGTATATGAAGCGCTTAGATTGTGAAGGACTTGGATTTAATTTTATGACAGGATTCAGCAACAGCAATTGTAAGAGTACCCAGCTATCTTATCTATTAAAGTTAGGATGTTTTTCAATTACAATAGCTTTGCCAATCAACTCTAGTAGAAAAGGTAGTTTTTCTTGTGAGAATTTGTTGGCTACCAAGTTTAATGCAATAGCTGAGGCAGTCCTGAATATCATCCGCAACGTCAATCTGCACTCTGGCTCCAAGCAAACCGAGGGTTCCTACCGTTACTAATAAATTTTACGATTACGTACTCTTCCCTGTTTTGAAATTATTTGAGAAAAGAGAGCATGCCTATTCCTAACTAGAACATATGTTGGTTCTACTATTATTATTTTCAAATATAGCATGGTTTTTCTAGAGTATGTTCGGTGAACAATGTACATATATATTCAAGTATCAGAGTTGAATGAACTTTTAATAAATAATTCATAAAAGTCCAATAACTTGTTTTTTTTTCGCTGATTAATAACTGATTGATATCTGTGTACCAAAGAGGGTGGGGCATTTCCGGGAAAATAAAGTCGCTGCGTGATTTTAAAAACGATGAAAAAGTAGAGAGTTGTCAATAAACTTGTCCTAACCGGATCTCTTGATATCGAAAAAAAATTATATCCGATATTATGAGTGTTTTCTTTGTTTTACTTTAAGAAAAAAAAAGAAATGACATACGAACTTATGGTCCAGTTGATGGTAAGTGGTTACTGTGGCCCATGGACATCTGTAACCAACTTCAAAGAAGGTTTTTTGTAGGATACGGGTAAAATACGAAACACAGCAGCATTAAGCTGCTATTTTACGCTGGTATTCTGTGAGAGCGTGGTCCTTCCCCGGTCGAGCCGACCCATTCGTGCTACAACTAAACTATTAATATAGCTACAGCATGGCTCTACCACGTTCAAAATCATCTAAAATGATGTGGACGAATGAAAACGGAGCTTTTAATAAGAGAGACGGCTTCGTGGTGCAGTGACTTAGCAATGACAGCGTAAAATGGCAGCTAACTCTGCTGTGTTTCATATGGTGAGTGTAGAGAACTGGAGACCCTTTTTACTGGAAACGAGGCATTTCATCTTAGTCCTTACGGGTGACAACGCATATGCATTTTGATTCGCAAATGAGGATAGATGTAGATGTCTATGGGCCACAGCAAACACTTACCATCAGGTGGACTGTGTGCTCGTTTGCCATCCTATATTATAAAAAAATGAGTTCGGTGCTGGGTGCCGCGGGTTCGAATCCCGCACGGTACAAGTATTTGTATGGCCTACATATAATTGTTACGTGGGTAGATATTTGTCCTTGAAAAATTTATGTATGTAAACTTCCTCCACGATAGAAAATCCTAGAGGGTGACGTTTTTTTTTAAACAGAAAATTAAAAAAAAAACAGATTGAGTTCGAGTATATAGACATGTACTTTTTGCCGATTTGGACTACAGCGGTAACTTCCTAACTGTGTTGCCAGATATCAACTGTTCGGAAGATGGTTTTAGTGCACAGAATATTTTATACATACACATATTGACATAAGTGTGTACTTACAAATACACTTTTTCCAATAATTAATACATTATACGTGGTAGAGCCATGCCGAAGCTAAATTATGTCTGTAGCAAGAATGTTTCGGCTCGAGCGGGGAAAGACCACGCACTCATAGAATACTAACGTAAATTAGCAGCTTAATGTTGCTATGTTGTATGCTTTTAACAGGAAACGAGGCATTCCATCTTAATCCTCATGGGTGACAATGCATCTGCATTTTGATTTTTGATCGAAAACGGATGTAGTTGTCTGTGGATCACGGCATCCACTTACCATCAAGTGGACTGTATGCTCGTCAGTCACCTTTATTCTATGGAAAAAAAAAAACAATTATATCCAATGTAATATTTATAAGGTAAGTGGTATGAATTTATGTAGAGGAAAAAAGAGAAATTTAAGTAGAATGTCAGAGAGGGAGAGACAAAGAGAGAGAGAGAGAGAGAGACAGAGAGAGAGAGAGAGAGAGAGAGAGTAAGAATCACAAAACACTCAGAACAGATCTGAGTGTTTTGTGATTCTTAATGTGGGTTTGTGCATCTTTGATGAGAATCGTGATTGGATTTGTTTTTAACCGAATTCCAAAAACGAGGTGACAAGACGGGCGTTCTAATTTCGACGCTTGTTTTATATGTATATAAAAGTATATACATATATATATATATATATACGAGTATATCTCGGCAACGGCGGAACTGATATTAATGCTTCTTTTATTACATAGATTGTACTTCAGAGGAGGACCGCTGTTAGTTTTATATAAAACATCAAGACTGGAAAAATCGGAGATGAAGTTTCATATATCAATATTAAGACCACATACTAGTTTTTACTTTGAACTTGTGATATTCTGTACAGAAGCTATTATGTGGAAATTGTTTAAATGTTTTTATTGTTTTGTTTAATTTTGACAATCGATTCATTGTATTTTGTAAATTAATTACAATATATGTCTTTTTATACAATTATATTATCTTTAGGTTACAAAATGTTATCATGATGAAAAATCATAACGCATTTATGTATGTATTACAATATCTATTTATTTATTTATCTTAATTTAATAGAGTAGTCTACTAGACTATTTAACTATTAAACCACAAAATAAACACAGTGACTTTTCGAAAATTTTCCCTGAACAAGAGAATAAATCAATGTTCTCCGCAGCAAAGTTTAGTGTATGCAAACAAGTTACAAATAGGAAATCGTCAATCACTTTATTATGAACTACGTTGTTTTATTTTTTCCGTCCTTGACTGAATTTGATTTGTACCGAATCGAAGCTAAAAACCTATTGCTTAGAAGTGGTGTGTATTCGGAGTAGTGAGTATTGCCACCGGGACTTGTTAGATATGCATAGCGATTGGCTCCGGTTGCATGGCTTCAACATGTTAAATCCTTCGCTTGCACTGAAGAATATTCCACCACGATAAATCTCATAATTCACGTTCACACTTGTAACACTTTAAATGTGATAAGTTTAGATAGTTCTTGGAGTTTATCGGGACGTCGAATTTGGCTAGGAGGATTTTTAAAATTTAGTATTACTTTGTAACTCTACGTTTTAAACGAGTCGTGCAGTCATTACATGATTCCAACGTTTATTGTTTGAGATAAAGGTCGTTAATAGCGTCCTACTTGCGGTCGGATTTTAGCAGCAGTTTCATATCTGCGTGTTGGTCTATGGCCGCCAGTTGACAAAGGTCGACGCAAGGCGGTCACGATTTGAACCCGCGGCCGATAGTCTCCGCTCATGGGAACGTGCGGGAGCCGTACCATTGGCTCAATTATGATTTAAAATTAAGAAGTCAATATTTGTGCTGTATATTATGTAATTTTTGTTTTATTTTCATATACGAGAAACCCGCCAATGATTAAGGTAGCAAATATATTATTTGATTTTATTGACTTAAATAAGGATTGTCTAAATGAAGCATAGCGTAACCGTTACAGTCTATTAAAGTCCACTGCTGAACACAGGCCACCTCTATAGATTGTCTCTAGGGGGGATATTTGCCATAGTTGCAACGCTTGAAAAGTAGGATTGCAAATGCAGTTTATTTTTTATTTTTAGTCGTTATTAGGAAAACGCTGCAGCCATTTCCTAATTTCTTACCCTCTGTCATCTCTTACGACACCCACAGGATGATATGGGTAATAAATATTTTTATACCGCCTCTACACGAACCCGGTTTGCTCGCGTACTGTGCAATTTACAACGAACGCTCAGCCTCCGAGATACCACGGCTCTTACGGCAGTAGATTTTAATAGGTTATAATTGATGAATAAGTGAATAAATATAAGTCAGGTTAATATATCTATCAGTATCTACTGTGGAAATGCTGAAAATGCTAACGGTAATGATTATAATGAATAATTATACAGTCTGATCTTTAAGCTCCACGGTCGTAAAAATCATGTGCACATATCGATCGTAAACTGATTTCATTAAGGAAATATCTATAAGAAAATTTTAAATAATATTTCTTGTGAAAGACCAATAGTAGCGGACTTTAGCAAGGTTATACGGCCAGAGAACTATTGAGGCGCGGCGCTCGCCTGCCAAGATAACCACTTTACTAATGTACCCAGATTGTAACTTAAAATTATGACACCCAACTTGATATTGTTTCTAGAGGAAACGACGAGATATTGAGCGAAAGTCCCTTCAGATCCCATTGTTTTCAGGTGACGTAAATCCACTTATCCCAACTTTACGAGCGAGGAAGATAATAAGTAAAAAGTAACGGTTAGCAGCGTTGACCGTGTCTTAATTGCGCTACATTACGGTTTAAGCTGCGGTCTAGACTATGGTGCTATGTTTAATTAGATTAAATATTTACTAGTTAACTACGTAAATCCTATTTTATTATTTTCTTACAATTAAGGCGAGCTTATTTTATTAACTACCGGACTGTTTAATACTTTATTTTTATAGAAGAATCGTGACAAACGAGCACACAGTCTACCTAATGGTAAATGGTGCTGTGGCCCATAGTCATCTAAATCTATACATAGAAATAAAAATGGGTATGCGTTGTCACCATTGAGAGCTAAGACAGAATGCCTCGTTTCCACAGTCTCGGCTTCTGTACACACATCATATGAAACACAGCAGCATTATGTTATTTTACGATGGTATTGTTCGAAGACGTGGTCTTTCCCAGGTCGAGACGACATATTAGTACCACAACCATTGAGTTATATGTACTACGTACTAGAGAAGCCATTCCGAACGTTGACTATGTTCAACTGAACTGTAGTGCAATCCATACAAACTAAATATTGCGTAAATTGAAGATTTGTGAATTCCATAAAATAATTATTATTACATTTTATTTAGAAATATGTTTGTTTAGATTAAATTAAGATATTTTATATTAAATTCTTATATTTATTTTATATTAATATCTTATTTTATATTAAATTAAAGTCTTCGCGCATGCGCGACTACTACTACCGCGCATGCGCGAAGACATAGAGTAGGACACAATTTTTGTTTGGAATGGCTTCTCTAGTACGTAGTACATATAACTCAATGACCACAACTATAAGATAGCTGAAGCACACCACACCCTTTGGATGATGGCGGTCCACCACTGTGTGTTTTGCTAGAAGTTTTCTTCCTCTTCTTCTTTGTGGGATCGTTTATCAATTTTTCCGGACCGATACGACTTAGGGACCTTAAAGAAAAGAGCTTACTTACTTCTTTCTAAAAGGCCGGCAACACACCTACAATTCCCTTGGAGTTGTTCGTGGGCGGCGGTAGTCACTTACTATCCGGTGAGCCGCATGATCGCTTGACTCCTTTTATATATCTTCTATCTCCTCTTATATTCTCTCTATAAAAACAACATATTATAATTTTGGGACGTCCCAATTCTGGGTACGGGACATCTTTTATTTTTGTGAACGTTATTTATATGGAGTGGCAAGTTTGTGGCGCTGCTGTATTGTGTTGGCGGATTTCATAAGTCCTTGAAATGTTTATATTTTAGGTATATATTCTTAGGATTTTCTCCTTAATCCTTAGTTATCAAGGGCGAAAACGTATGTAAATTTTGTTTCTAATCGAGGTCATATCTATGAGCCACAATACCCACTTACCATCATGTAGACTGTATGCTTGTTTGTCGCATATCCTACTTTTTTTAAGAAAGGAAGGATCACGCTCTCACAGAATACCAGCGTAAAATAGCGGCTTATGTGTGTTTCATATGGTGAGTGTAAAGATCTGAAGAGCCTTTTTACTGGAATCGGGGCATGCCATGCTAGTCCTCAGGGATGATAACGCATTAGCATTTTGATTCTTATTCGGGTATAGATGTAGATGTCTCTTTGACCACGGCATCTAGTTACCGTCAGGTGAACTGTGTGATCGTTTGTCACCCTTATTATATAAAAAGTAACACTCAGAAAGGAGCAATCAGTTCACTTGATGGTAAGTGGATGCTGTGGCCCATAGACGTCTACGTCTATCCTCATTTAAAAAAATCAAAATGTAAATGCATTAAGCTAGTAGTAAAGGAGTCTCCGGTTCTTGTCACGTTATTTTTATGCCAGGCTCCCTCGCGGTCCTTATCTGTAATTATGTATAAATTAGTTGGTGAAAGCTAGTAGGTAGTTAATTAAAATTCAAATAGTTTTTCACATAATATTTATTTCTATCATACAAATCATTGCTCCGAATCTGGGTTAGTCTATTTACTTTTTATGTAAGGAAAACGACCTCATGTCAAAGTAAATTTTCCTGATGTAAATGATAAATAATGACTTCTTTTAACACAGAAAAGAAAAAACTGATAAATTTAACGGTCCCGTGGCGTAATGGCTTAGCATTGAGTTGCGGCGCTGCAGGTTCCAATCCCGTTCAATAAACAAATATTATTATAACATATCAATCATTGTTCAGGGTCTTTACGTCGATTCTTGTGTAATTTATAAGGTTATTTTTCAAAGTCATTATTTATATATTTGAATTTTACACTCAAATTCAAATATATAAATAATATTATACCATTGTTACAGTTTTTGAAAATACGAGCAAATGAGGCTTCTACTTTTATTTGAAATTATTCCAAATTTAATGTGATTTATGAGCTACAACATTTTACCTACCGATTGACCCTTACAAGTTTGTGTATTTTGAATTCAAAAAATATAAAGGACAGAATAGCAGAGATTTTTATAAATTAATTTTTCTTCACCATTTTCCTATACTATTTATTCTGAACCTTCTCTGCAAATTTGGCCGGTTATTACAAAATAACCCTGTATAAAAAACTGTACAAAAAGGGTTATTATAATATCAAGGAATACATGAATGAAAATAACCCCTGGGAATAAGGTGATCGCCACCATGCTGGTTCTATGAAAATTCATTTAAAATTGTATAAACAAAATTATTGTTAAGTGAAATTATGTTTAAAAAAAAGTCCCGCTGGGTTTCTTGCTGGTTCTTCCCAGAACATAGGTATTTTCCGAACCAGTGGTAAATAAAATAATGACTTTCAATAAGTAATATGTAATAATCTATATTGAATAAAAATCATTCTATTCTATTCTATTCTATTCTATATAAACTGTCTCCACGATATAGGAGAAAATCTAAGTGTGGGGTTTAACATTAAAGGAAAATTAAAAAGAATTAAGAGAATGAAAACGAATTAAAAACGTTCAACGCATAAAACTGTTGTCCTAAAACATAAATGAGTAAATAATGAAAACATGTGCTACCGATAAAGCAACAAGTATCAATGTAAATGGATGAGATCTTTACGAGAGTGTGTGAATGCAACGCTAATAACTATGTTTGCACAACGAGGAACTGGATGTCTTATCTAATTGCTGCATCTCAAAGCAATTAGTTAACTCTAACACTTACATACACACAGGCTATAAGGATGACCAACTTGCCAATGATATTCAAACAACTTAATTTGTCGCCATAACCGAAAGGCCGTTTTTTTCCATAAATTTTGATTGTAAACTACTTCTGGTAACGCGATGAGTCTGCTATATATTTTTAGCTGGCAGTGCTTCTTTAATGTCTTAAAATCTGCCTAGATTTGTACCCCTGCCCATTTCCGTGGCCGTGAAAGCAGTGAACCTATTGTGGTATGTAAATTTGGCAACTTTGTCGCTTTCTTTTATTAATTTTGTCTTGCTTTGCGGCTGCCTCGTTTTAAGTTAATGTTAACTTTTATGTGTATATTTTTATAAAATATATTATTGATTTAATCTCTAGCTTTCCTAAAATAAATTAAAAAAGTTATCCACATAAGGGTAAGAGTTTCGTGGCCTCCTTTGTTTGAAGTTGGATGCAGGTGTCAACGGGCACATACAGTAGTTACCTAACATAAAATAGACTGATCGCTTGTTTGTCATGCTGACATTGTGAAGAGACCTTTATTTAAGTGTACCAAAATAACGGGAATTCTATAAAAAAATCAAGCATTTGTAAACTTACATTAGCGAGAAACCTATTTTTTTTTTGCGAATAAGGAATAATATAATACAGTGATTGATGGTAAAGTTTTCTACCCTGTACAATAATACAGTGTAAAAAATTTTACCATCAATGACTACACTTACTTATAATCAGCTTATTATATGCAGTAATGTATAAATATATTTTAGTCAAGCACTATAGTTTTTGAAAAAAAAATTCTGACACTGAAAAAAATTTTTAGAAGTCTTCTGACATTAATACTCACTATAAATATGTCCCCTTAATCATTTGTTACACTGTCAACTTAACTCTGTGTCTCGGCGAGCACTTTTAGCAATTAACACGCAAACTCGGTTGTCTGGGAACGTACAAACAATTGTTTGGAAACGTAAACTTACGGTGTGTCGTTTTCGCCGCACATTTAGTAATGTAATGTTGGCCGCCCCACCGAACCGTATGTCGCAAGCTAATTAGCGGAACGAAAATTAAGTTTACTGAAATCACTGGTGTCCATAGACAGTGTTAAGACATCTAGAGAACCTATGTGTAGCTAACAATGTTTATTTGTTTGAAAATACGGTGTACGGTGCCAAATTGGCACGAAAATAGCAGGTCTAGTGTTGAATTATATATAAGTAAAGCAATACTTTATTGCGATAGCAAAATATTCATTGAGGTTATATAGAATGTACTGTGTTTTGACGGCATTTTTTTTTTTATAGGATAAGGGTGACAAACGAGCACACAGTCCACCTGATGGTAAGTGGTTGCTGCGGCCCATAGACATCTACATCTATCCTATGTTACAAATCAAAATGTAGATGCGTTGTCACCCGTGAGGACTAAGATGGAATGCCTCATTTCCAGTAAAAAGGGCATAAAAGAATCTACCCCATTTCTTTCCTTGGGAGTCGATACATGCGACACAAGTAACTTTGGCCCTATGAGGTATTCTAGTATATCTATATGAAAACATGACTACATTGTCTATCTAGCGCGTAACTGCCGATCATATGGTTCCCGTTTCCGGTCCAGGATCGGGCCAATGTCAGCTATTGACTTCTTCTGCCAATGATTTTTCAGTAGCAGTCTGGAGTCAGAATGTTCGTGGTGTTTTACATCAGTGCCTCGGGATCCGTCCAGTCGTGTCGAATTGCCATCCTATGGAACTTTAAGAGTGATGTAAGAGAGAGTGTCAAGCACAGGTGTTTGCGCACACTCGTGCATTGTAATGCTGTATTCATTGACTAGTATCCGTCGAGACTGGCCGCTGTGATTTTCTGAAGGAGTTATATATGTATACAAACCTTACACTGGTAAGTGATAATCGTTTTATGAATTTATCGAAGTTAACTTATATAATCAGATTGAATAAAACTACTTTTATGGATTCTATCGCGTTTAATTAACTTATTTTTTATTGATTCCCGACGTTTCGGGTACTTTACAGCACCCATGGTCATTTTTGTCATTTTGCGTAGATCGGATCAAAATTAATAATTAAAGAAGCTGGAGATACTCTGGGTTAACTCTGACAGTGGGACGTCAATCACCTCAGTTCCCCGTGTCCGTGTCAATAAAAAATAAGTAAATTAAACGCGATAGAATCCGTAAAAGAAGTTTTATTTAATGTGTAGGATTCGTGTAAATATAAGAAATCATTATTTAATCAGTTTATTATATACTGTCCTATTCTTCCTTCCTCAAAAGGACAATATAAATATACTGTCCTTTTGAGTTTTGCGCTTTTAACGTGGTAGAGTCACGCTGCGGCTATGTTATAGTTGCAGCACGAAAAGGTGGGTTCAACCGAGGAAAGACCACGCTTTTACAGAATACCAGTGTATATCACAGCTTAATACTGCTGTGTTTCGTATGGTGAGTGGAGAGAATCGTACACACTTCTAACTGGTCACGAGGTAATCTATCTTAGTCCTCAGGTGTGACAACGCGTTTACATTGGGATTATTAATATAAGATTGTAGAAAGTATATAGTCCACTATCAGGTAACTATGTACTCGTTTGTCATTCGTGTTCTTTAAAAAATATAGGTCACATATATACATAAATATGCATGTATAGACTGCTGAACTGACATCATTTGGGGTTACTATTTATTTTATTTTATTGATATTTATGTATGTTTATATATTTCGTTTACAATTATATATCTTAAACAGCCCAACCAGATGAGAAAACTTTATAGATAACCCCAATAATAATAATTTCTGTATTGAACACAGATATAATATACAATTCATTGGTGCTCTGACTCCTAAACTAGGTTACCCTTTATGTTAGGAGGCAGTTTCCCATCCATTAAGTGATCTGATTTTACGTGTACAATACAGACTCTAAAATATAAAAAAGTGTGTGTGTGTGTGTGTGTGTGTGTGTGTGTGTGTGTGTGCGTGTGTGCGTGTGTGTGTGTGTGTGTGTGTGTGTTTGTGTGTGTTTGTGTGTGTGTGCGTGTGTGTGTGTGTGTCTCTGTCTGTCTGTTTTCATTAAAATATGTGTACATAACATAAAGTAGATTTTCACAATTTTCATAGTCGTATTCTTTTAGCCAATTTAAAATAGGTTGTTTTACTTGGTAACTTTTTAAATTATTTTATTTTATTTTTTTATTAATTGTATTATATAAATGAGGTGCTTGGTAGTCATATTGCCTTTTCGCAAATGCGCTTTTCACAAATAGTGCTGGACATTTTACTGCTTAGTAATTTATGTGGTTGGCGAAAAACGTACCTCTTAAGATGTGTATATAGATAAATCCACAATCAGGATATGTTTATAAGTGTGCAATACAACGCAGAAACTCAACGATTGTAATAAAGCACGAGAAATATCAGTGCGATAATCATTTTGAACGCCCGACAGGACATTCAGGCGTAGTTATTACCGTATACTTTGAAAGGCAGAACCACTACAACGAAAATTATTGTCACTTCACAGAGTACTCGAACTCTGTAAAGTCAGTGGTAAAGTTTTTATGACTTTCATTAATAATATTATATATAAAGTAATCTTGTAATCTATACTGAATAAAAATGATTGTAATCAATAGTGAGTAAATATGAATCTAATCTATTCTATTCTGATTTCTTTAATGGTAGCCCCAGTTTCAACTCTAACATGGTTATAGCAGCTTAATGCTGCTGTGTTTCGTATGGTGAGTGTAGAGAACCGGAGACCCTTTTTACTGGAAACGAGGCATTTCATCTTACTTCTCAGGGGTGACAATGCATCTGAATTTTTATTTTTAAATAGCCGTTCCCCGCGATTTCGCCCGCGTTTTAGGGTTTTAATTTTACTGCGCGAAACCCTAATTCTTTTTCTTAAATATAAGTAGCCTAAGTTACTCTTTATTAAATCAGCTATCTGCCAGTGAAAGTCCCGTCAAAATCGGTCCAGCCATTTCGGAGTTTAGGGGGAACAAACAGACAGACAGACAGACAGACGGACAGACAGACAGACAGACAGACAGACAAAAAATTTAAAAATTGTGTTTTTGTTATAAGTACAGTATATACTTTCATATGCATTTAGTAAAAAAGCTGTTATTTTGACATTACAAACAGTAACTTCAATTTTATTTATTTGTATAGATCAAGGATAATTGTAGATGTCTATGGGCCACAGCAACCACTTACCATCAGGTAGGCTGTGTGCCCGTTTGTCACCCTCATTCTATAAAAAAAGGTTATTTAATTATAGGCATATCATTTAACTAAAATCTTTATATCTGTTAACCGAAGGTAGTGGCGGCGTTAGTGGTATTGATCACTCCGTATCATTCCGTGGGTATCGTAGAAGCGACTTGAGGTAATTTGTGGAAAATCTTGCAGCTCCCGATAGAAACCGATCTGTCCCGGACATATGGTTTCTGTAAAATTATGGACTGAAAGCAGCGTCAAAAGTGAGTTCTGACAACAGCTATAATTGCCAGTACTTCTGCCGAATTTATGGGCTACTTTATATTACTACTTTCTGTTTGCCTTAAGGCCTGACCCTAAACCGAAGATCCAAAACTCTCGCATTGGTGAGTCTACTCCCCGTTTCGAGTCTGTGTGGGATTAGTTTTATGTTTTACTCTTCAATAAAAATACCGCCATAATTCGATCGCCAAGATTGTTCCTCGATTGTAAATGTGCGCTGGGTGGGTGGGTTTATATATTATAACTTCACGCACCTTTTAATATTTATTTGGTATGATATATTTAAGTAATTAATATTAATACCTAAAGTGTTCCAGCATATAATGCATTATATGCAGCACTCGTATTCCACAAGTTACTTCCATACCAAGTGCACCCCTTTAAAAAAAACTCGTTTCACAGCATTTCGCAACTTAGACAAGTGGTAAAATTAAAAATTTTGTACAACCGACTTCAATATAAACAAAATGAGAACATCATCAATGTAATCTAAGTCAATTAAATATGTACGCATTGTTAAGGATAACTCAAAAACTACTAGTCATATCTCGATCAAATTTATATGGGACCACATAAGAACCACCATCTATCAAATAAAATCATCAATATCGATTCACCTAGAAAAAAGTTCTGAAGATCCTCCTCCTTTTTTGAAATCAGTTGAAAAGTATGATTGTTAGGTGCAAGTGCGGACATAAATCATATTCGTGTTTCTTAATTATTATTTCTTGAGTTTGAACTCAGGTTCGCAACATAGCATACCTATAGTATGATAGTTGGATTACTATGGTAATAAATTACTATAGGATAGTAGTGTGTCACTGTGCCTTCCAGGTTAGCGGCTCAGTAAGCTGATATTGGCCGCTGTGCTTTGCAATCCCCAAAGGCGTGGCAAAACGTAGAAAAACTGGGGCGAGCATATTTCGAGAGATCTTGGTAGGGCATAAGGTCCGGGTTATCAGTAGTTAAATGTTAATCGTGCGAAACTTAGGAGAAGGGACCGTGCGAATACTGGAACATTTCGTCAGAACGTTCCAATTGTGAGCAATCCAAGAATAGCTTAGCGGTGTACAAGGACTTTTGATAAATTTCCCATAAATTATTTTACTAAAATACACATTTGAGGTTAACTATTTTAACTAAGGTCATTGTCATAAACAAACTAAGAATTACTTTATCTATATTCTATACAAATAAATTAAAGTGTCTGTTTGTAACGCCAAAATAACAGCCTTTTACTAAATGCATATAAAAGTATATTCGGTACTTATTATAACAAAAAGAAACATTTGAAAAATTTTTGTCTGTCTGTTTGCTCCGGCTAATCTCCAAAATGGCTGAATTGATTTTGATGGGACTTTCACTAGCAGATGTTATAAGTAGTCTAAGCTACTTTTATTTTAGAAAAAGAATACGAGTTGAAATCCAATTTCAATAAATTCCACGCGGACGAAGTCGCGAGGACCTGCTAGTCAGCCTATAAAAGTGAATTGAAAGTGACTGGAATGGAACTTGAGTTGCAAGCGTTGATGTGAAATTTATGGCAGTCGCTTTGCCCCTGAGTTACTACAGCTCCTGCCTACTATCTCGTATCTATCAGATGTAAAATATACCGATGTTGGGGCAGTATTAAATGTGCGTGGTACAATACTTGCCAAACCTCCTACGAGGTCAAGCCATGCATGATCAAGATTAGATTTTAGATTTATACCAAGTTTTATTTAAGGTCACCCTTTTACTATATCCACTACTCATGATTCTTTACCAAGCTTCATCAATATCGGGGTGATATAAAAAAGCAGTACACGTGCATTTTTATACACGCTGCAGTTATATTGTAGCTGCAGCACCGGGTTGACTTGAACGGGGAAGGACCACACTTTCACAGATTGCTGCTTTGTTTTGTATTATGAGTGAGAGACCCTTTTTACTGATTGCGAGGCATTCCGTCTTAGTCATCAGGGGTGACAATGCATTTTCATTTTGAGTCTTAATCGATTTTGCACGTGGTAGAGCCATGCTGCAGCTATATTAATATTATAGTTGTAGCACGAATGGGTCGGCTCGACTGGGGTAGGACCACGCTCTCACAGAATACCAGCGTAAAATAGCAGCTTAATGCTGCTGTGTTTCGTATGGTGAGTGTAGAGGACCGGAGACCCATTTTACTGGAAAAGAGGCAGTCCATCTTAGTCCTCACGGGTGACAACGCATCTGCATCTTGAGTCTTTATTGAGGAAAGATGTAGATGTCTATGGGCCACAGCAACCACTTACCATCAGATGGATTGTGTGCTCGCTTGTTGCCTTTATACTATAAACACCCGCAATATTGGTCTTCTGGACTTTAGACAGAGTTATTAACACGAATAAATTACTATACTTATTTTTAGTAATATAATTTCGGCCGTGAAAGGCAAGGTGATTAGCTCGGGGAGCGGCCCACGTTCAAAGTGGTGAGAATTCTGAGCTATTCTACTCGTATATATAGCGTACCAACTTCAGAACTTTGATAGCGCGATTTAGACTTCGGTGCATTTCGATTACGGCGCGACGACAGCTCCGCTACATAATCTTAAGCATACTTCCTAGTTCTAAACATAACGTTCTACTTTTTTTGAGAGCATAATGAGAATTTTAGCTGCGCTACCTCACTGCATGTAAACAGCACTAGTCTCCGGAATATTTTAAGTTCAGTTTTCTAACCACACTATCTTTCACCGCCTAGCTATTGTGTCAATTTTTTTTTAAAGAATACTATTTAGTAACGCATTATTTTATCTTATTACCAACACTCCTGTTAACCACTCAGCTTACGATTGTGTTAAGAGTAATTCAAGACGATAGTCGAATGGGGGATACGACCTTACGACTATCTGAGCTTGCAATCCGCTTCCATTCCTTAGCCATTAGGCTACCGCCCATAAAATTTAAATACAAGCTTTTTACCGTTGAAAATAAGATAATTGTCAAAATAAAATCCAGAAAGAGTACAGCTAAATCAATATAAGTTAATATATTTTCAATTTATAGTATAACTAGGAGAAAAGCTCCGAGAAATAAATTTTGAAATGACACTACGTGGTAGAGTCAAGCTGTAGCTATATTTATAGTATAGTTGTAGCACGAATGGGTCAGCTCGACGGGGAAAGAACCACACTCTTACAGAATACCAGTGTAAAATAGCAGCTTAATGCTCCTGTGTTTCGTATGGTGAGTGCAGAGAACCGGAGACCCTTTTTACTGTGAAAAGAGGCATTCCATTTTAGGCCTCACGGGTGACAACGCCTCTGCATTTTGATTCGCAAACGAGGATAGATGTAGATGTCTATGTGTCACAGCAATCACTTACCATTAGGTGGACTGTGTGCCCGTGTGTCACACAATCCTATAAAAATAAATAAATAATATATAATGAGAACATCATTAATGTTGTCGAAGTTAATTAAATACACATTATTAAGGATAAATCAAAAATTACTGATCAGATCTTCATCAAACTTATATAGGACCACATAAGAAGCGCCAGCTTTCAAATAAAAAAAGAATTTGACGGCTCCATGGCGCAGTGGCTTAGCAATGAGTTGCTGCGCTGGGGGGCGCGGGTTCGAATCCCGCACGGAACAAGTATTTGTATGGCCTACAAATAATTGTTCCGGGTCTGGATGTGACTGCCTCCACGATACAGGAGAAAATCCTAGTGTGGGAGTAACGTTTTTTAAAATAAAAAATAAATAAGAATCATCAAAATCGGTTCACCTAGAAAAAAGTTATGAGGTAACACATAAAAAATATAGTCCAATTGAGAACCTCCTTCTTTTTTGAAGTCGGTTGAAAACTTACACTCAGTACTATACTCACCAAGACCCTTTTTATTAGAAGAATATATTAGATGTGCGTAATTAGTATTTCCTTCGATTTTTTTTTAAAATACACTAAAATAATTTATACCAGTTTAAAGCTAATTATAACTAAAACCTGTATCGTACTACTACTGAGTAGAGATGGTACTTCATGTCAGGGTATTTAATATATAAATCAAAGGTCTCGATCCAGCAGATAATCTCGATAATCATTAAGTGGACTCAATATGTCTTCAGTGGACTCAATATATCTAAAGTTTATATTAAAGTCGGTTGCACAACATTTTTAATTTTACCACTTGTGAAAATTTTGAAAGATAATATCGTCTCGTACTCGGTCAATCTCTGTCGAATCTTACTACTCGGACTCGTATTTGTCTACATTAAAAAAAACCGGCCAAGTGCGAGTCGGACTCGCGCACCGAGGGTTCTAAAAATTTAGGTAGGTAACTAAAAATTTATACTTTTTGCAATTTTCCTTTATCTGTGCTATAATACGTTGCTTCGTACCAAATTTTAAGATTCTGAGTTCACGGGAAGTACCCTGTAGGTTTTTATTACCTTGCAAATGTCGATAATTAGCGGCATAAACGGCTGTATCTTTTGATTGCGTTGGCTTAGAAGTTTGGTTTTTTGACAACTTCAAGAGACAGAAGACTTGAGTATTTGATATGAATTTCAGCTTGATACCTCCACGCGTTCCTGAGAAAAAGGGTCTTGACATACACAGACAGACAGACGGACAACAA